GTACAGTAGGCACCAGCGTTCTGAACAATTCAGTAGACTGGGCGTTGACGCCCACGTTTTCCAGAGCAACCACAGAGCCATATATTCCAGCGAGTTCTTTTGCATTCTCAATGGTCCTGATCGACGTCATAGTTTTAACCTCTACTACATAGACGTCATGATCCCCTTCCTCATCCTCGGCAGACAGCAATGCGTCAGGGCTGTCGGCCAACATCGGGCATCGACGGTTCTCTAGAAGTCCTGTGCACCGGACGTGTTTTACCTCGCAGGCAAAGGTTTCATCCCATTGAAAATTAGGTGAGCGTAGTCGACACCTATACGCTCCGCCACAGTTCTTTAGAAACGCCGGTAGTGCCTCAACAATGTTGTTTTCATTGCGAGTTCCTTCTCGCATTCCAGTTGTCGCGACAAGGGGCTTCATCACTCATGCTTCAAGTGATGCCTCTCGAAGGGCATTGCACACACGCTGCGCAGCAGCATGAATGGGCTGTTCTGCACTGCTGTCGTCATCACTCAGCCCGGAGTTCAGCTCAACTAAATTACTGGCTATGTCGGCCTTCAGCTGGTTCACAGCAGCGACGAGCTCGGACTTCGGGACCCGTAGCTCCAGTCCCCTGTCAAAAGTGGACAACATCTGCTGCAATTCAGCCTTCGTGGTTGATGCAATGCGGGAGGGGGTCATTTCTGCTAGTCGGGTTGCTACTGTGCGGCGTGTTGAAGGATTGGGCCGGTCGGTCAGATTCATACCCAGAACCCAGGCAATTTGGTCCCACTTGTCCATGAGTAGTAACCGCACGTCGTCCTCGTCGTCACTGAGCGCTTGCACGCCTTCGACGATTGTTCTGCCGCGAAGCAGGGCAGCGGGACCTCTCATAGAAGCGACATAGTCCCGCACTACAGCGGCAACAAACCCGTGCCCAGTCCTCGACGTGAATCTAAATGCACGCAGAAGGAACCAAACCGGGTCCTCTGACTGCAAATAGGTTGGCGGTGTGACGCGGGCCAACACTTGTTCTACGCGGCTCTTACCGCTCGCTGGTGGCACCACTTGAACTTGGGACCTCGTGTGTCGTCTACTGTCCCATTCGCTTGTTGGGGGAACTTCATGAACAATCATCGCCGAGTCCAGTTTCTTAGTAGCCGCTTCCTCCCGATACTTCTCGCGGAAGACGATAGTGAAGCATCTCGAAGGAAATAAAGAAGCGTTGTTGTGAACAAGGGCGGCTACAGGCCCAGAGCAACTTTCGCGATAGACGCAGGCCTCAACGCCCCGGGCCGCGGGGGTTCGACTACCACCGTTCTTATATCTTGCCGTGTACACGGCCCGACAGCCGTTCTCCGACACCACCATACCTTTATGGCGACGGGAAATCGGGCCGTCACCGAAAACATAGGGATACCACAAGTCCCTCTTGTGCATGCCTAGAAGGCTAGCACCGAGAACCTCAGACACAAAATGAATTGTCTCTTTAGAATTGTATCCTCTGTCAGCCGCAAATATGGCGTCAGGCATAGGACGTAGAGCCCCTGTAGTAGATACCCCTTGCAGAAGCTGAGCCAATCTCTCCCACATATGCAATAGCTTCTCGCCGCTACGCGAAAAGTGACATGCCAGGAAGAAGGGATTTAGAGCACTGCATAATGCGTTCCCAACAGGCCCGAGTACTTTCTTCTGGTCGTTTAGTTGCTTTAAGTAGGTGAGATCGACTACTGCTCGCGACGCCATTCTCAGATGGTCATCGTCGAGAGATAGTACGGTGGCGTTGGGAACATAGAGAAATTCTCTGTTAATCGCCGCAGTCTCCGCTTCGACCAGTCTCCGCTTCGACCTCTGCAATGAGAGTCGTAGCCCTATTCGCTGTGCGAGACCAGCCCGTAGCAGACATGTCGTAGGTGCTCCTTTTTTCCTTTGTGCCGCAAAGGGCACCCCACACGGAGTGGTATCTATCAGCTTTGATTCCCATTTGAAACAAGAAGTCACCTTTAGAAACGTCACAAAGTGTGCTTGCTGATTCTCCATAAGCGACACAAAGGACATGCAAGATAAGTAGACCCAACAGCTCTTCTTTCGTCTTGCCTGCCTTCCCCTGTTGGTACAAAACTCGAATTGCACCGTATCGTAACTTCTTCAACAAACAGTCGGAAACGAATGTCTGCACGCAGCTCAATGGCGTCAAGTTCACTTCCTCGTTGCGTTCATCAAATTCTTCCACGGTCCTAGTCTCCACATCCGCAATAACCTTGTCCAGCACTTCGTTAGCCTCCATAACGAAACGCTTCTCTAGCGATTCATTCACGTCATCCAACCTGACAGAGATCTCTCCAAACGGATCGTCGTACTGCCAGGTGTCCATCCCCCCCGTCCTCTGCGCTTGCGCACGCGCTTCTATCTCTTCAGGCGTAACAGTGGCCCGAAGAGATAAATTGTCTTCCTCTTGGACGTCCTCCCAGGGACAAACCGCAAAACGTTCATCGTCGAAATCGTGATAGATGCGACTATCGAGATCTTCACAAAGGGAAGCGCCAAACTCTCCCCCGGTGGCGCAAAACGTAGCCATGTACGATGAACGGCCTAGCTCGTGCACTTCCTGACGCGACACAGTAGTTTCAAACTCTTCGAGCTCAACGAACGGCGCACTGCTAGCGTGAGAAGATGCGGAACTTGAACCAGGAAGAAAGAGCTCTTCAGAGGAGGAGAACTGCAAGTCTGAGTTGGGAGATTCGTGAACAAAAGCCTCTGTAGGCAAAAACACTGGGGGCGCCGGACCACTTCTCAGAGGCGTGTTCTGAAAGTCGGAATCGTCCAATGGTAGACTGGCAGAGCTTCGATGGCATTCTGTGGTCTGAACAGGCGCACGAGGGGAAACATTTGGCGATATGTGGTCAGTTGACACGCCTTCATCGACAATAATATCTCCAACGCCTCCCAAACTGTCCGGAACACCTTCTTCGGATCGCGAAGCAGTGCTACTAGTATCGTAGAGGTCTACAAGCCCCAGTTGGTTTTCGGGGTAGTGCTGCTGAGCCGTAATCGTTGGCTGAGACTCTGGAGGAATAGCATCACCAGCGGCAGCCTGTATGTCCTCAGTATCTCTCCTTCTAACTCCCCGGAATAATCGGGGATTGGGGCTATGTTCATCATAGCTGATATGTCTTCTGGGCATAACATATGCTGAAGGAAGCTGCTCCTGGAAAGCGCGCCTGAAATGGTCTCAGGGGCGGTTTTGGGACATAAAACTGAAGAGATGTGAGAGAAGGGGTACTTTTTGAGATGACGAGCACGTTTTTTGAAGAGATATGCGACCTGGTGTGGAACAGTCACCTCTCACGTCTCAAACAGGCATCACAAAAAGAGAGAATTTGATCATTTTTGTGAGGTTGGAGACGATTGAGCGACACGCTCCAACCCACCGTCACAATCAGTATCTCATCTCTTAAACCAATCACAGTTTGAGTGTGAATTTGGAGACGGTGTAAGGACACTGCACCTATTTATGGCACTGGTCCAACCTGTGGAGGATGAGTCACCGCAAAATGTCCCAAAACGTCACAAACTATTGTGACGCCCGAAATCGTCACAAACCGGAGCATAGGGATAGGCTCGGGTCTGAGGTCTGAGGGCCGTTCCTAACTAACTATCATACTGTGTACGGTACAGTATGTCCAGTACAGGTTACCAGCAAAATCGATGAAGTAGCCTGTCGATTCACCTCGGACTTTCCCCAACAGCATGCGGAGTTGGCTGTCTGTCTTTCCGAGAGCGTGATCGGCCCAGGCATCGGTTTGATTCCTGGCTCTTGGACTCAGGAAGACATCCCTTTTTTGTCATTGGCAGCTCTTTTTATGGCGAGAGATCTAAGTCTTGAGCGCTCACATATCTGGGAGGAGTGCACGCATTGTTGCTCTTTCCAATGCGCAGCAAAACTGTCCAGGAGTCTATGAGCAAACTGAAGCTTATTGCTCTTTGTTAACTGTCTCATATTCATCAACGGATGGGCGACCGCGAAGTTGACTTCAACGCACATCAAGGGTGGTGCATCGACTCCTCTCATCCGTCTCGCCCTATCTTGAATCTTGACACTATTTTTGAACATCTATCCAATTTATACCCGAGTCATGAAGCAGAGAGCAACGCAAAAAAGTCCTGGATTCGCGATGTAGAAACTTTTGTCCAAGCGCACATCGAGGAGATTATTGCGAGCAAGCAATTTATTCGCGCACCAATATCCGCTTTGCAGAGGATTCTCTCCCTTCCTTGCCTCAAGACTACGGAAGATTATATCTTGGAGCGTGTTCTGCAGTACGCAGCAGATGCCGCAAATGTTCTCGCGGACTCTCCTTCCTTTTGGACAGAGGACGAAAGAGAAGTTGTTCTTCCCGTGTTGCTTCAGCTTTTCCCATACATCCGCATTTTCTCACTGTCCACTGACGAATTTCTGCACACCGTCGAGCCGATGAAAATCCTCGATGTACCAGAACTTATCCAGAAATATAAGTTTGACGCCCTTGCAAGGCAGATAAGCAGTGAAAGTTCCCGCAATATAAAAGGCCATACAATCGCCAGCATCAAACAATGCTACAAGGATCCGAGGATGCGTCAGGAAATTCTGCTTCAGCGTCTGCGTGGATCTATTGCGATATCAGAGTCGGCCCATCCATACTACGAGGGAGAGGACGAGATTTTAGAGGAGGTATCCGTTGCCCCTTGGACACCGCGCATACTGGTAGAAATCGACCGACGTTCTTCCATTGGTATCGGGGCGCAACTCACATTTTACCGAGATCCAGATGCCAAAGATGTTATCGGAACATGGCACGAGATGTGGCCGAAAGGACGACATGGCGTCAAGAGCTTTGTAGTCAGTGGCCATCGATTGTTTGTTGGATTCCGCAGCTGTTTCTTTGAAGAAACAAAGTGGGGATGGAAACTGCTTGTTACTCCTCTTTTTCAATCTCAGGATTTCGAGTGAGGATGTGGGTTCGTGACTCCGTCCATGATACACCAAGCGGAAATTCTCGTACAATCAGCTTCACGGAGAAGCGCCCGATATACTTGTTTTACACCCTAGGGAAATATCTAGTCAATGACTACACCTAAACCAAACAGACGCAGCCGCTTCGACATCATCAGGCAGGTCGTCTTTGTCAGTGTCTAACAGGAAGAGGACATAGTTGCTGTCATGAGACCTTCTTGTGTTCGTCCGGGGAGTTCTTTGTAACAGACGAAGATGCTTCATTTTGAGATGCTGCTTGTCGACTGATTGAATGCGATTTTTGTTGCTTTCGCTTTGCAAGCATGACCTGCATGGTTGTAATTGAATTGCCTACGAAGTTGGCGAAGGAAAGGAGACTAAGAAACAAAATTTGCACTTCCTTTGGATAATCCATGTAAATCGTAAAAAGGCGGTAGGCTTGCGAGCCTTGCATGATCTGACCGAGAACAATTAAGGGAAGTAGCAGGCGCATGGTCTCACTCCAGTGGATTTGGGTGGAATCGGAACTCGCTACATCCATCTCGTTCACCAGCCCTAGCGATCGCAAGGTGTACAGGCGTGCCATTTGATATCGAGTCTGAAAAATCATAAGAATAGAATTATACAAACCAAATGTGTGTAGCGGGCGGCGGAAGCGAGCGTACGACTCCCCATCTGGCCAAGTGAGGAGTAGGACGCCCTGCATCATCGTAAAGTAGTGATGAATAATCCACCAGGCACGGATATTAGAGCCATTTGCGCGAAGGATGTTCTCCCTGACGGCTAAGGTGACGTAATAACATGAGAGGGCCAACTGCAGCGACATGTGCAACCAGCGGTAATCTTCAAAGTATAAACACAGGGCACATGTGACGACGAATAACGGTGCAAGTTTCATCTTGAGCCTCTCATATTCGCGCTTGAATGCCATACGTTCGGACTTGCGCGGGAAGCGAACATTTATTGAACCCAGGAACAGTTCAACAAACATGCCTCCAGTGGCGGGCATGAGTAATTGCATGTCCTTAAGGCGAGTGCGCAAGTGGGACAGGTAGTCTTCAAATTCTTCAGGGCCTACAAAATCCGTTCCGGAGTCACCAGGTGATACGACAGGCTTTCGCTTAAGTGCGCTCTCGGGTCTTGGGGGCATCCCACTGCTGGGCTTGTTTGTTTCCTCGGTTTGTGACGCGGGTGGAGGAGACGCGGACGAGGACTTAGTTGCTACGACCGCTTTGAGGCTCTTTGACTGTTTGTTAACTGCCTTCTCAAACGTATCCTGCAGGCCGTGGAGCTCGCTCATGCGGTGACGCAGTCCTTTCCCCATGTCATCAAGCTCATCTTGTGCCTTGGCAATGACTCGCATGGCGGCGCGATTGACGCGACCGCCCGAGGCGGTCCCGGCCATGATCACCATCGTTCAGGTGACGTCGATGACGATGGAAGGCGGGAAGCCAGCTTCGCAGTTGAGGGCATCGGACAGGAGAGACGAAGATGATTGATGGCGGAAGCTAGAAGTGTGGTTGTGGCTGAACCAGACTTGGTCTTCAAATGCGGTGGTGGACAGCACGAGAAGTGAACTTGCGGTGAGATTCTAGAATCGAATGACATGACTGGCAGTTGTGCCTGTCGAAATCTCACTTTATTTAACACATTTTTATTGTACCCTGATTTATTATTATTTCATTGTGCTTCCGCAGTCGCAGGACATATAGATCATACTCCAATCCGGTGTGAGCGCGTGCAGATTGCATGAAAGCATGTGAGCAACAACGAATGGCAGGATCAGTTGCAACTCTGGAGCATTGCTGAATCTAACCTTTTATTAAGATGTGGAAGGGGGGAGATGTTGCGAATGCGATCGTCAAAGACTGCTGTGCGCAGCAAGGTCCACCTCAGGCCATTTGTCTTCAAGGAGCAAGCAATCGCGTAGGATTCGGTCGTGCGCCCGTGGCTTTTCGTCGTCAGCGGCCTCAGCAGCACCCCCAGGCTGCTAGATCGCCTTTGTGACAAAACCGCCCAGCACGGACGCAAAACTGGGCGGGGCGATGTGACTTCGTAGCCAGAGGCGAGGCCACCTGTTTTGAAAGCGTGACGTGCAAACGCGTTGCGGACTCAAGTATGGCGACGCACTACCCTAACGCCGGGCTTGCAATTGGACTTTTGCTCGCCGAAGGCGTCCACAGCGCAGTGGTGCAGCGGACACGCATTCGTCTACCATCCCATCGCAGATCTCCCCACCCCCGCCCACGCTCGCGCCATCACCAAGTACCGCGTTCGGGGCTCAGCGGACTGACATCTGTCGCTCCCTCATCTCCCAAGACGCTCACCCGTCCAGCAGCTGTCCACGTCGCCGTCCGCCTCTACAACGCGACGCACGTGCTGTACCATTCTTCGATCCCACACTTATCGCTCTACGTGCTCCAAATGATTTCACGAGCTCTGTACCACTGATCCCCACGCCCTCTCCTGAGCGCTCGTCCCCGTCGCCCGTGCGTCCGCATCCACATCCGCGCCTGTGTGCATGCCCCCTCTCGCCTTCCCTTGTGCCCACGCCAACGCCGCCGCTCGCCGCAAAACCTGTGCCCGCACTTGCGTCCGTGTTGGCGCCAGCAACCCCACCAGCGTCTGTGCCCATTCTCCCGCCTCCTGTGCCCGCGGACCCTGACACGTCGGATTGCATCCCTACAGCCCCTGCCACAACGCCCCGTTTTTTCCTTCACGGAGAAAGTTCAAGGTCTCCCAAGGCGCTCTAGTGCTATTTTACGACATACCAGACGCACACATTTGTTTCGGCCTCAACTACGTGAACGCCCCTGCATGTCGAGTTCAACGTCTCCACCGCCTCCCTCCACCCGCCTTCTCTGCCTCCTTGGCGCACCTGTTTGCTTGTACCTTGCTTAATATTGTCACTCTAGAAGTCCAGTTGCCTTTACGCCATAGTACTGCGACTCGGCGTCACGGCCTCCGCATGACTTATCGCGCTAACCCTGTGAACACCCTGTGAGTTCAGGGCTGAACATTTGCGCACTCTTCTGTTACTGTAATTTAGTAGTCGCCTTTGACGAGTCACACTCCTCTATCGTACTGTAAGTTTTTGAAACATTCACACAGTGGTATAAATAGCAAAAAGTTTCTCCCCCTGGTGCGCTCAGTTGCCGGTGTGGCCAAGTGGCTATGACAACCTCCGAAGGCGTTGGTCTTGTACATTCGTGTCAACCAAAGATCACGGGTTCGAATCCCGTCATCGGCTTCGAGAAAATTTTTGATCAGAAGTGGACCGGACTACCTTTATACGTGGACATGATCGTTCTACTCGGTGGGCGCTGCAACAGTATCAACTTCGCACTTCGCTGCTATAGTCTGATCAGTTGGACTTCGCACAGCCAAAAATCTGCGCTCTTGGTCTTCACCACCAACCACGATGCAATCTCTTTTTATGCGATACGCGTCTTTCCCTTCACTGTTCACAAGACAAGTTCGCACGCTCATGCCGCGTCCGGGCAAGACTCACCAGGGAGCAGCTGCGCGCTTTGTCGTCGCCGAGGGCCGCTATCAGAAGGGTAATGTTTTTCGCCATCGTGCCGGAAAAGCGCACCTCAACACAAAAAAAAGCTCTTCGAGACTTCGCAGACTCAAGCGGACTACTCTTGTAAGCAAGAGCCAGGTAAAATCTATGCTTCGCCTTCTTGGTAGGTAGAAGTCCATATTTGAAGCTCATTCGATCTGATCAGGATCTTGCAGATCCGAATGTCATCGCTTGGCGATGCTTTCGTGCGCCCTGGAAACTATGCAAGTCTTCGCGAAGGGATGCGAGTAGCTACGGGTATCGATCACAAGCCCTATCCCATATGATTGTCGTACTGCCGCCGCCCACGTGTCCAAAGTCAGATTACTAGTACAAGATGGCCTTCTTCACACGTGCGGGGGGACTAAGCGATCTTCAAGACGAGATGGGATGCGAGTACTGCGCGTGATGGGTAAATTTCTGTGTTTACAGTCGACGTCTGCTGGGACTGTTGCTCACTCGCATAGTTGGGCAAGGGCAAAGGTCGGCAATTAAGTGGGAGTGCGAAAGTGTGGTGCAGAAGGTCCTGCGTTCTATTTGGTGAGCTGACCGCGGAGGGGCAAGTCGATATACGGAAAAAGGTCTGACGAAAGCCGTCTTCGTAAACACAGAGCGCTCTGCAAAAAGAATAATTTACGGACAATCGTACATCGCCAAGGAAGATACCTGAGGCCTGGGGTAGGGCCAAGCACAAACCCTTTGTCACTCCTCGATACGCGCGACCTCCTCTTCCATCTGTTGAACCGCCACATCCTTGCGCTCTGCGATTTTTTGTCTGACAATGAGCGGTTGCACGATATCTGCGCCCGTGGCAAGCTCGCGAAGCGCGTCCTTCCTCGTTTCCTTGACTCTCGTAACCATTCTCGTTTTGTAGAAATCCTTCTGTCTGGCCGACTTGATCTTGTCGATAGTCGGCAGGGCGCGCAAGGTGGTGGCCACGACCTCACGGTCGTATTTCTCGACGCGGTTGCGACGGCGCTCGAAAGCAAATGAAGAGTCAACGACGAGCTCTTTTCCGGCAGCTGCGCGGAAGGCCTTGGTCCAGCGAAGCTTACGTGGGTTACGCTTCATGTTGAAGTTCTTGCGGCATTTGGAGCGGCAGAAGCGGAAAACTTTTGAATCGTTGCGCACAAACATTGCGCCGTGCCCTGGGTATATGGTGGACGAACAGACGTAACATTTTTCCAGCCTCATTGCAAGAATGCGACAACGGTAGGAGGCAAACGCGAGTGTTTCAAGATGCGTTGGATGATGGGAGAAGGACGGCAAAGTGGGGAAAGCGAATGGAGCGCCGGCGCAGGCGTTGGGCTCTAACAAAAATTTTGATTGCAATTTCAGAGCACCAACCAATCGTCTGATTTATCGTACAGTATGCTCTTTAATCCGAGAGGGCTGCAACACGTGTTCAACCCGGCATTGACTCGCCATCATACCATTCAACGTTGCCCGTGAGCAATCCGCTCCTGACACGACGGACCCACGTGCTTGAACCCATTGCCCCGCCCATCGCAACATATTTGGTAATGCGGCGAGCTCCACGCCTGCATTCTATGCTACAGGATCGCCGTACAACTTCTGGAGAGCCTTGAGATGACCACGTCGGACTCGCAGCCGCTGGCTGCCCTTTCCGAACTCCCGAATACTACACAATTTGACGTCCCTCCCGGCGACTTCAACGCAGTTACATGGACCAACTCCGTTCTCTCCTCCTCCCCTTCCCCCTCAATCCCCGCCCTTCTTGACTTGCTCCAGGATCACATACGTGACGGTCACATCGTGTTGGATACCTCGCTCAAATCCGCTCTCTCCGCCGTGCCCTGGGTCGTCCGCGAGACCGACAAAGTACGTCAGCGCTCAAATCTATTGCGTGCCGGCGTCGACGGCGTCGGTCTACGTGTTGAGGGTGTGGAGACGGGCGTCGCTTCGTCCGTCACTACCATCGCTGATGCTGATACTATCGTCCGCCGCGTGCAACGCGCCACAGAGTTGCTGAGCCAGGCCGTGGATGCGGAGCGCCTCCTTTCAAGGCTCGACGCACTTCTTTCGTCGTCGGCGGCTGATGGATCTGACCTTGTATCCGCGGCAGACGTTGTCAGCCAACTGCGAACTACTCTTGCTCCATTGAAGCCTATTGCGGAGCTTGCGGACCGCTTCAAGCAACTGGATGAAGCCGATCGCAAATTGGAAGCCCTCGCTGCCCCACAACTCAAGAAAGCTTTGGAAGAGCTAAACTCACAGGCAGCTTCTAATGCAAGGATTGTCTTCGATCACGCAGGTAGGGATAGTGCCTTTCAGACTCAGTACGTCGCGCTCAGGGGTGAGCAGGTCCGCAAACTCTGGAGCAATGCGTGGGAAGCGAGGGATGCTGCGATTTCTGAAGAAGAAAAAGCCATGTTCTCGGGAACGCCAGGGGATCTTGCTGGTGTTGGGGCCGAAGTCATTCTTCTGGCCTTCTACGGTTCCTTGTATGATTTGATCCGCGCGGAGGCCGACTGGCTTCGCACCACATTTCCAGACCTTCATCAGGAGCTCGTACCGCCTTTGATCTGGAACGCTGTCAGTAATCTGAAGAACCCCCTTCCCGTATCCAATGTTTTCGTTTCTTCCTCAGCACCTGATTCTCTGGAAACTGTGAAGTCTATCGCAAACCGCCTTTTCGATGTGGCGCATGCATCTGTGACAGGTTCTGCAAGGATCACCCGGTTATTTGTGCCGGACGATCTTTCCGAGAAGTTGCAAGATCTTGTGCCTGAGAAGGATGTGGTGCTTACCGACTCTATAATCAAAGCTGTGTCAGAACTGCTGAGCCCGTTCCGCTCGTTTTGGAAGAGTACGAGTCAAGTGGCAATTCGAGAGGCCCGCACTTCTGTGTCGGCAATTGAACTCCCAAGCACGAGGGGTAGTACCTCTGCACAAACTGCGCCGATGTCGCACCCCTCTAGCCCCCCATCGTCGCGACGCTTCAGACCCACTTTTTCGGAAGTAGCCAAAGACATTGAGGCTTGCACAGCAGGAGTACTATCAGCTCTGGATGTTCTCCTCACTAGACTAAACCGGCAAACGTGTGGTGCTGGAATCGGTCCGATGAAGCAAGCTTCGAACACAATCGCATCTGTTTTGTCGGACCGCTTGCTGAAGGTATTGCGCTTGCCAGCGCCCCCGACAGGCACAGGTGAGGACGAATGGACCGAAGTCGGCGGAGCACTGCGACTTTTGATAGCCTCAAGTTCTCTAAAAAGATCGTGGGAGTCACGCAAAGAATCCCTGTACGCAGTCGCCGTCGGTACTGCAACCCCAGTTCTCGAAGTCGCAACTGCCTTGAAAGGAAACCTTTTCGAAAGAATCAAGCAGTTTATATCCCAATCAGAGAGCGAGAACCCTATCGAAGCTGCTGTTGTTTGGGAACTAGTTCGCGACGAAAAGCTCACAGCCAAGATAGTGACAGATTTTGAATCCCTCGATTCAGCCCAAGACTACGATCAGTTGCTCAGTGTGGTGCATCGAGTTGTCTATGAAACCATGTTCGATGGTGTGAAGGCTAGGTTTGCATCTTTCAATACCAGTGAGTTGTGGAACAGCGCAACGTCAGATGGAGAAGTTTCAATGCTTGGATTTTCGAGTTCGCCTCTAGGATATGCGACGGAAGTTGCTGATTATTTGATGACGATTCCCCAACAGCTAGAACCGTTTGTGCCTGATGAGGAGGACGCCAAGTATGCGACGCCGCGATCTCCGTATGTGTTTAGCGCTAACAGCCCAGGGTCACAACAGACTTCTAGGAGAGGAAGAATTGGACGACCTAGAGAGTCCACGTCTGGCGAGGTCGGTGGTCAGGAAGCTGGAGAAGAACTGTCAGGTGAGGAGGGCATAACCAACATGTCATTCGCCGGAGTATGGATCAGTGTGTTAGCGATTAGTGCTATGGAGCTTTACGTGGAGAAAATTTGTTCTATTCAGAAAGTGAACGAAGCTGGCGCGAAACAGCTGGCCACAGATGCAGACTACATCTGCAACGTCATCGCCTCTCTGGGGGTCGCCCCGACACCTGAGATGGCTCTAGCTCTGCGATTAATTGAATGCAACGCAGATACTGCATCTGTCAAGGAAATCGCGTCAGAGTTTGTCTCTGTAGAGCATCGGAAGCTCATCAGGAGAATCGCTGCTCTCAGGGGCATCAATGTCACGATATGAGTATTCGGAAAGTAAGAAGTTGAACCGAACTGCAAGGAGGCAAAATCCTTCCGTCCGCTGCACACACTGGTCACCTCCCAGGTGTTCTGACATACGCGAGGCTGTCCGGTGGTCCCGCACATTGATGCTGCTTGTGGCGGGCATTGCCACATGATCGTACTTTTCGCACCATGTCAAGTAACGAGAAGGCAACGGAACGGTTTTGTGAGACCCATACATAAGTGATGACATCTCAGCAACGGGTGTAAGAGCAGAGGTTCGCATATGCTGGAGCTGCGAGTAGAGTCTAGTTCCAGTACTTCGCCGCCCCAGCTCCCCACCGTACAGCTGGCCACGAAGCTTTCAAAGTCCGGGGGATAAGCAGTCTTAATGGAGAATGGATTAAGAAGCCGACCTGTGACATTAAAAAGTACCTAATAGACCTAAACGAAAGTGGTCTGAAGCCGTCGTCCTCAGTGACATCAAGAACGTCAGCAACCTCTGCGGCGATGACCACCTTGCCGTTCATTTTGTCCCAGAGAGGCTCCCCCTTCTCCGTGAGCAGAGCAGCGAGGACCTTGCCCACGAAACGAGGGGACTCAGCATTCCAGAGCGGCAAAATCTCTGGTTGTTGGTCTTGGCCTTGGCGTTGTGCTTCTTCCGCTAATTTTGTGGCTACCTCAAGCAAGACATCTGTGGTCACGAAGCCAGGACAGAATGCAATGGATTTGACGCCCTCCGGTGCAGCAAGTGCGAGCTCCGCAGCCATGCGGTCAATCGCTTGCTTGCCAATAGAATAAACCGGATCAAATAAGCTGGTCATACCACCCCAAGATGTGATGTTAATGATCATGCCGCTTCCATGCGGCTCCATCATTCGAATAGCGCGTGTGGAACATATAAAATTGTTCCTCAGCCCTACGCCGTTGACGCAATCCCAATAGTCTCCCGGGTTGGAGTCTGGATCTGGGACGGATGGGTTTTTTACGCTCTTCTTCCAAAATGGAACCTCAGCGGAACTCGTGAGGAAGTGCACAGCTGAGTAGGCGTTGTTGACAAAGAAGTCCAATTTGGATCCATCCGCTGCAAGACGAGTGGCTAGCTGGGCAAAAAGGTCTTCAATTTGCTTATCATCCGAATGGTCCACGACGAAATAGTCGCAGTTGCCGCCGACTTCTCTGATTCGCTCTGCGATCTCCTCCAAGGAACCCGGACCAGGACCCTTGGTACGACCGGTGATGTAAACGTTGGCACCTTGCTCACCCAAGCCAATGGCTATGCCACGTCCAATCCCCCGAGTGGCACCTGTGACGACGACATTGCGGCCTTTGAGAAGCGACATGGTGCTGTAACGACGTTGCACGAAAGAACGGGGGGGCGGGGCGAGAAGAGGAAACGGGCAGATGGCAGTGAATGCTACCCGTGGCGCGGAGGAAAGAGGCATTTAAAGAGTAGAGGCGGTTGCGGGGCGACAAGGTCAGGTGTATATTTGAGGAGGCCACGAAGTGCATACAACGAGATATGGTTTGTGTAAACAGGGTCTCTGCTCGGAATTGGTGGGGCGAGGTCTTGATGGCATCGAATTACAATTGAATGGACTGTCTGGCAATCCCAAGCCGGGGGCTCGCTGCCACAAGAGGCTCTGTGAGTCCTCAAACGCCGGCTTGACGGATAAAAGCATGTTCCTACTCTCGCAGTATCCGCGTGAGGCAGCGATCATACGAGGGGCGTTCCTCTTTTTCCATCATTTCTGAAATAGTAGCGGCTCACCTTCCGCCTGCAGCTGGAGACTGGAGACCCAGTGATCCCAGCAACTCGCTGTATCCTGCAGTTTGGCGCCCTTCAATCAAAGCACCGTTCCGAGCGACGCGCCCGGCACCAATGCAGATAAATTACTGTACCTGTCCTCTGTGCAGCTCAGCTGACTGATCGCACTGGAGCCTGCCACTGCCATCTCCCGGCTCGCTACCTGCTAGCCGGTCCTCCAAAAGGCATTATTCTCCGCCCTCATACTGCAGCTGCTGGCACCATCATGCCGCCCACATGTGTCTCCAGGTTTCGCGTCTCCAGGTTTCGCGCGTCCCCATCTCCATGTCCTGGTGCAGTGTCTACGGTATCCGTAGACATTGCACCACGCACTGGCATTTCGTGAAGGTATCACTGTTGCCGCGGTACGGTATGTCATCTACGCACTCTGTGTTGTAGTTGTACAAGACTGATCCTCGTGCATACGGTAAGTGTTTCACTCCATGCCTGTGCAAGTGCCATCACAGTCCTTGCACATATCCACATCTCGTACATTCGGTAAATATTTTACTCCAAACCTGCGCAAATGCTATCACAGTCCTTGGACATCCCACATCTCAACGAGGCCCCAAATAATCAACATAACGTATTCACCAAGACTGCTGCCTGCAAAAATGCCGTACCAACGCCTCTAAGCCTCCCCACAAGGGCTAATCCCTCACGTGAATCTTCCATTTGACCTCTGTCCAGCATTCCTTGCGTGTAGGCACTTCATAGGACTCTCCCTGCAGCACGACCTCACACTCCCTGCGTGCCCGCCAAGCGCCGCCAGCGACCGACACAGCAACGGACAGCAAGGTCCCCTCGCACAGTTAGCCCTTCCGTCAAACACGTACTCCGTTTTCGCATTGCACTTGCAGCACTTCCTCCTTCCAGCGTTCCCCTCCAGCTCCCCGCCCCAATTAAACTTCTCCCCCCTCCCACCGCGCTTCCTTGGTACCCCGTGAAGTGCCAGCTCTCGCTCAATCAGTTCCCCAAGTGCTCGCCCAACCTTCTTAAGGTCTGTCTCCGATATACACACGACGTCCGCGCTCTCCACGGCCTCCAGCGCTAGGTGCTGCTCGATGTGCACGCAGAACGCCTCGGCTTCCGCTCGCGAAATCCCGTACGTTTGCATCTCTTTCTTGATGCCCACTAGCGACTTCCGCAACACTGCTTTGTAGATGCAGTTGCGCAGCGGCACCAATTCGCCTGTCACTGTTTCGACGGGCGTGTCCATGCTGAGCTCCTCATGACCGCGTGTCACCGTGACCGCGCATGCGAGCAGCAGGAGGTACAAGAGGATAAAGGGTACACTGGACATTTTGCGAGACCAGAATTGAGAACGATTGTTGAACAAATTTGAAAACCGAAGGGGAAGGTCGGTTGAGGCGCCTGTTACGAGGTTGGGAAGCACAAAGAGATAGAGATAATTCACTCTGCCAGAGAAGATGCATTACTTATGTGGGCGCTTGTCGGAAAGACTGCGGGCCTTGGTCCGTGCGAATTGCCATCGTCCGACCCTGAAAAAGCCTCTGATGGCGTCGCGTGCGTGTCGACCAGCTGCCGTTGGTTTTTCCGTTCACATGCGGGACTATCTAGAGGGGCCCTGTAGAAGTGCGGTTTCGAGGGAAATCTTGCGTTGCGAAGAAGTCGCCAGTCCCTCGCACTTGGCGTTCAGCTCCTATTCCAAACGCAGACAGCTTTTGACGTCATTTGCAGTTCCTTGCCCCGACGAACAAAGAGATACAACGCTTTATGTATGTAGTCGCCCTCTCGCTAAAGGAATCCACGTTTTTCGATGCATAGCAAGCAGCTTATGTCGTGAGGCCCAGTTGTTTGTACGTAAACGCTGCTGACGTTCGTTCTTTGTGGCACACAGTTCGAACATTTTGCCAAAGCGTGAATGACGGTCAATTTCCTGCGCTGTACGCACACAACGCAGTCCCTGGGCACAGCCCCGAACACAGATGCGCTGGATCAGGACAAAAAGTAGTATCCAAAAGGTCCAGCCCGAACGACACCTCGTCTATCACCTGCGCTCAGGTCTACGTTCCTGTGCTAGGGTCGTGATATCCGGGACAGAGATCGCAATGTCCCGTGAACTCCTCGTCACGTTTCCATTTCGGGTCTTCACGGCCTTAAACTCTCACATCCCTTGCAAGCTACCACTAAACCTTCTCTCTGGAAACAATACAAATAGAAATAAAGGTTATTTTACTTCTGAGATCCACACCCCATCATATGTCCGACAAAAGAACCGTCTTTTTGAGAGTTTGCGAGGTAATTAACACCGTGCCAACTCAGGGCACTTCCTTATTCTATTGCGGAAAGTCTGAGGAATGAAAACCAATGACCATGAACGAACGAGCACGGTTCCGCTCCACACCTATTTCATGGCTTACAAGGATTGTACGAATATCACCGACAAGCACATCGCTACGAAGGGGAATGAACTGTGGACTGATTTCCTGGGATTCAGTACACGATAGCAGGCCATGCGTATTCAGTTTGGCATCGTCTCGGACATCCAAAACAATTCCTTTAGCCCCAAAATTCATCGCGATGCTGACGCTGCTGACAGCATTTGGATCTGCATCCACACTCGGAGGCTCAAAGAGATCACTGTTCGTCAAAATCAACCTCTTCGTACGTTTTTGGATCTCCACTCGGCATGTCTTATCGATAACCCCGTAAAAAACCGGAAGCGGGCTCATATCCGGCAGATTCATCGTGAAATATGCAGTCAAATACGTTTTCCGAAAGCCACCTAGGCTCGTACCAAGCGAGAGCTTCACTGCTTCAGCTGGGCAGCCCTTCCCTCGGAGTAAGTCCTCAGCCTTTCTCAGGTTTTCTAAAAACCGCGTCTTGTTGCCTCTATGAAGCAACATCTTCAAAGCCAAGACTTTTGAGTCGCGTACGTCGGACAGTACGTGATCAGCGTGTGATATCAACGACAATTCACAAGATGCCTGATTCTTCGCCACAAACTTCACATCTCTTGAAGTTGCTGTAGTGAAACCAGTATTGAAATCGATAACTCTTCTCACTAGAACTGTAGCACCATTCGTTGAAGCGCGCTTACCGGAATGAACGCTACAAAAGAAAATCGCAACAAGGACAGCATGAAAGAGATAATGCATGCTAATCGGTTTTCTCTCACGGAAGTTTTCCAGTGGCGGCCGTCTCTGCATTCGAACTGTACAATGACTTCCTGGATCAACGCAGAAGACTTAACTTGAAACGGAGATGCACCTTAAACAATGCTTCAGTACCTCTTTCCAAAGGAGAGCTTTAAAAGCAGAGCATCAACAAGAGTGCCACGAAAGGTTCTCTCTGATGCTGCTGCACCTGCAATATGAAAGAATGATTTAACTCTCCGATTTTTTGCGATGAGTCACATCTCCAGCTCCGTAGGGATACCAATTTTGGATGTAGACGATCGGCCGCAGCACGCCTTCATGCAGGGCAGGTTAGGGTCAACATCATAATCATCCATTAGCCGCGTAAAGCTATCCCGCTGAAGACACGATGTCGGGCGGGGCATCTTGCAATTCGTTGGCATTTGCCTTTCATAACGACAGAGAAGCTGACTGTCTGCCTTTGTTGTCTGGGAGCCGAAGCGAGGCGACCGCCATGTAATCAACAAGGTGTGCGCTTCGTCAAAACAGCCTCACGTCAGTCTGCGAGAAATTTGACGGGCTCATCCCTCGTGCGACACAACACTTCAACTTTCCGGTTCTTCTCCATCCCTCGGGTTCCAACCGTACTGCGTACTGTTCCCGTTCGAAAGGAGATTCTCGTCATCATCAAATTGGCGTCGGGTAGGCCGCGGACGGTTCATCTGAAGGGCGGAAGGCATCTGTCCGGCCGCCGCATTTTGATCGTCCGGAATTTCTTGGCGCGCAGGATTGTCTGCCGTGAAAGAGCGAAAAAATCCTCCAAGGACTCCGAGCGCGCCTGCCGCATAAGACCTGATTCCGGACGCCTGCCACGCGCTGCTCCTCGCGGACAGGCCTGCGTTGCTCCTGTTTCGTTCAAGCGCAACGATGAGAGTTTCGGACGGGACTAGATCGAGCTCCTCAAGCATTTTGGGATCTTGGGCTAGATCGAAAACCCGCCGCGGGAACGCCGTTGAGACTAGCAGTGAGGCCGGGGCGCACTGGGTTTCCTCGGATAGCCACGACCGCACCGCTGAGAAGTTTGTAGTTGCTGGGAAGGTCTTCTTGGCCTGGGCTCCGCTGGGGAGTCGCGCGAGGAGTTTGGCTTCGCGTGGGTGGGTCGCGCTCGGACGGGAAAGCTTCATGGACTTTGATTGTGAAGGGAGCGAGGCTGAGACAGGTTCGGATTGTAGCGATGGGGCACCGGACGATTGGCGAGAGAATGTGGGGGAGTCGGGGGTTGCCGCAGACGCTCGCTCCTCTGTCTTCGGCAGAGAAGGACTTGCTACTCCCGTGTGACATTCCGCATGTGTATCCTCCTCCTCCTGATACGCAGCAAAAACGGCCTTGTCAGCGGCCTTGTCAGCCCGCTCTGGCTCTGAGCGGGGTATTTCCGGGACAGTAAGGACGGTGCCGGACACTGTTTTCGTGGCGGCGACGAGGGCGTGGGCGAAGGCTTGCGGGGACACAAAGCCGGAGTTGTGCAGGAGGGTCTCGCCCGTGAGCGGGGCGATGAAGTAGAGGTTGGGCGGGTTGGCGTGGAGCTTGAAGTAGACGGAGAAGGCGGTGAAATTGGGGTTGGCGTCGTCGCTGGGGAAGCGCAGGCAGACGGCGTTGGAAAGGCGAGTCAGGGCGGCGATGGAAGGGTTCGAGAAGGTGAGGGTGTGCATGGAGGAGGTTGCCAGGCGCGAGAGAAGGTCGGCGCTCGATTCGGAGGCAGACGTCGGATGCATGACGCGCGTCGGAGGCTCAACCAGGATGAGCAGCACGCTTTTGCGTGCCTGGCATTGCTGAATGGCGCTCGCCACGCCGTCCGTCGCCCACATCGTAGAGGGGGAGGATCGTTGGTCGGACGTCGGGATGTAGAGGCTGTGGTTTGGGAACAGGAAGGGCGGCTCGAAGCGTGGGCTGGGTGGGGACCGGAAGAGCTACGTATTCTTTCCCAAGACTTGTGGTGGGCGCTGTTGGTGTGGCAGCAACTCACTGTAAGCAAGAGTACCTGTAAGATATACACGTGGGACAGTTGGACAGATTGTATGTCTGGCAAAGTATCCAGGTGTGTGAATCTCAGACAGTGAGTGTCCATTCAGGGATATGCACTTTCAGATGCATGTCCAAGGGACGTGAAGAGCATGAAAGTGCAGTAAAGCGAAGCTGAATTGAAATGCAAATCCCATTTAGTATTTACATTCTGTAGTGTTTTCGAGGTGCGAACGCGAGGAGCTTCGATCTCATGATAGAACTACGAGATGTATGAAGGGGTGCGAAGAGCGGCCGAAGGGCCGGGGTCGAGGGGAATAAATAGAGGTGGAGCGAGCTTCCCTGTGCGAAAGGGAGACTTGCAAGCTTCGGGTATCTCTTTGGTGCCGTCCTCACGTGCCCTCGTCGAGTGCGCGTCCTTCTCCTGTGCCCTCTGACACCAACCCGAACAAGGAGCTTTCCACTCGGAGTACGGGAAATTCGAGACCATCAATTGTTGGGCTCTCCTCCTAGTTATCATACCCCAATTGATGGACTCCAAAGGGTCAAAATTGTCGAGATTATCAAGGCGACGACGCAGCTCATTGAGATTACATGGACGCAGCTCATTGAGATTACATGGACGCAGCTCATTGAGATTACATGGCCACAGAATGCACGAAGCTCATTGGCTACCAGTGAAATAACAGCCAAAATTATTAGAATTTGTATCCAGCCCGTTGGCGATTAGCGCTGACGAGCTTGGGTGGTCCGCTACATATATCTGTTGCGCCTTCTCTTCGCGGGGGTGAAGGAGGCAAGTGGGCTCAGAATTAAAGCGAATTATCGTGCAATTCATTAGCCCTTTTTAAATAAGGGGAAATCGCGCTTATTTTTGAAATAGGACAAGAAGTGAACCTGACTCCTGTTTAATTACCACGACAAAAAAGGTCAGAATTCCAGCTTGTTTCAAAACAGTGGAACAAACAAGACGGGGCACCATCAAGCTCAGACTAAAAGCTTAGCTTATCTTCCATCACCTTCCATCAGCACCTTTTCAAGATATTGTTCCCCACTTCCCCCTTCCAACTCTCCCATGTCGACTGTCGAGGAATATGGAACCGGATCTGTTCCTGCGCCTTCCGACGCGCCTCCCAGTGCCTCACCACAGCATCCTGGCAGCTCCTCTGCACCCGCTGTGACTCTGTCACCCAGCCCCTCCCCGCCTCCGGGCCTCCCTTCGCGCCCACCTCAGCGGTTTGTCATGAACAAGGTCGAGAAGACTTGGCTGCTAACCCAGCTCACGGCGTATAGTGCCCAGGTTCAAAAACTTAAGAAACTAGACGCTACTTGCGCGAGCGTGGCCAACAGTGCGCGATCTCGTCACAATTCGGACAGTGCGATTGTAGCAGAGCAACAGCAGTACGGCATGAGCTGGAGGTGGGCATGTATGCATCGCATATCCCCTGAAAATGTCCGCCACATCGCGAATACAGATTCAGAAATGGCAAAGAGGGTTTTCATCGCATCAGCGACCGGTTCGCCCGAACATGACGGTCCCATATCAGCGGCAAGAGGCGTCCAAAACGACGCACAGCACGTTTTGGACCAGGTTATTTTATACTACAAAGAAGAAGCAACGAAACGGATGCTGACGACGGATGAGGATGCGACCAGAGCGCTCACACGCACCCAGGAATCGCGTGTGGAGAAGGAAAAAAGAAATAGAGAACGGAAGGAAGCCTTCGAGAAGAACAGAAAGCGAAGAAGTGATTTGCAGGAGGCTCGAGAACGTCGTCGAATGGCTGCGGACATTCAGAACCTCCGCGCTCAGACATGTATTGCGAATGCTGCAAGCGCCAGTGCAACGCTGCAACGTCTTCAGAGCGAACAGTTTGGCATCCTCGTCAACCTGTTCGGTCAAAGCGACAATCTTCCACATCAGCAGCCAGAGACCACTCTTCCACCGCCACTTCCCGACGCCCCTCTCACACTGGATCCAGTGTTGTTTGTGCCCCTGTCAGACACCCATGTGCATGCCTCTGCGTCCGCCTCCAACAACACCACCTCCGGGGAGTCTCCTAGGCCCGTAACAGACGCAAGTGCGTCACCAGCACTGCACACGACCGTGCTCACTACGGATGATCATGTTTGAGCCGCGCGCGTCGCGGTACTTGGTCCCCGCCGTTCTCCCTACAAAGTCCTCAATTCGAGCGCCCCTGCTCACCCCGGCCACCTTTCCCTCGCTGCTCCAAAACTCCGCGTCGGCCGTCGCCACCCTCGCGTCCGCCTTGACCAGCACGGGCCGCTTCGTCACCACCACTTCCTTCAAGCTCCCCTGCAACAAGTTAATGTCCAAATCACCTTCAATAAAAACTTTTAAACTGCTCCGGTTTAATCTTGAGGTCCTGCCCAAATTTTCGATTCGCTCCCCGTATCTTCTTCTGCCTTGCTCCCTTATAGATTTTTTTCGGCTGCAGTTCCAATATCAGTACCCCGCCGTGGGCAGGAGCGGCAGCGCGAAGGAGGCGGACTTGTCCGTGGTGGCGAGACGCGCGGAGGAGGCAGCGAGTGTAGGGTTCTCGGAGACGCAGCGCGACGACAGGTCAAACACGAAAGGAAGTCAAAACTCGTACAGTAAACTTTACTTCAATCTGAATCTGAATCCATCCCGGCATGTGCTGCTAGCTTTGCTTCGTAGCGTGACCTGGGCTGAAGCGCGAAACCCGTCCTATCGAACTGCCAGTTAGAAAGCATAGCAGCTGTGTTGTACGCTATCGGAAAGAGATCTTTCTCAAACGGCCAACGCCCTAAAAATATACGGAACCTGTTGTTGATGAAACCTATCCCCCATTCGTTAACCATTCGTTGCCGTCTGATATGTCGATTGTAACAGGTCCTAAACATCCACTCTGTGCTTTCGTTCTTCTTGTATGGAACTACCAAAGCCCCCTTCCCTGCAAAACCCATGTCAGCCATCCCGTGCTGTCCCGAACAAAGGAAATGGTCGGAAGAGCGATAGACGTCCGAACTGGTGTACATGTTCCGATCGCTTTCGGATCCTTTGTCCGATATCTCTACGCGAATAAAGCGCCCAAAAAAGTCGCAAAACACTAACACCGACCACGCATGGGCCTTTTTGTACCCATCGTATGCCCGTTCTTGTTCTGCGCCGTGCCCTGGCCTCCAGCGCCGATTCTTGTTTCCATCCATGAAGAACACACACCTCGGAAATCCTATGATCAAACCCTCCATAGCAGCGCGGTTCCCTTCATCAGGCCATCCAATCAACTTAGGCTGAAGAGAATTGAGACTCTTAAAAGGCGCGAAGAACGTGCCGAAGTAGTTTGACACAGTTCCAACGGAGACGCCATATCGATGGCCAATCCTCTGTACACCAACCCCTCCCTCATTCCCACCTCCGATAACATCAAGACACATGAACAGCATTTCTTGTGTGTCGAGACGACGGCGGCGAGGAATGCGAACCTCTCCTTCATGGTCACCTCTGACATCCATAGCAGCCAACAACGCATCGCAAACCAGAACATGTAGAGCATCGAAATCTTCCCGCGTGAGGTGAACCGTACCTTCAAACAGCAACACGTCTGAGTCTAAGTGACGGATGTTGTCGTACAGAGTAGCGGATTTACGCCTTGCATACGGTGCTTTGGACCCACCTATGGTGTTTCCCCTCCCCGGTCCTTCCTCCTCTTCAGACTCATTCTCAAAATCTTCTTCCACCCCTCGACGATATCCCGACAGAGCTACGCCCTGACAAATCAGGGTTTCCGTGTGAGCACTGGTTTGGCTCATTTGCTTCAGGAGCAAAACGGGAAGGAGGAAGCTGTTGTCTGCCATGATGTTGGAAAAGCTAGAGCTCGTGGTGTGAGGTTTGCTCGTATTCCCAACTTTGCGTCTCCCTGGCCACGTGTACACATAATAGCATTTTACCGTTATTTCAAATCTACAGAAGCCATGGATTTGAGGGCTTGTCTCATAAGGGGAAAATCCTTAATTTAAGAAGGGCTATTGCTAAGGTAGCGACCTTAGCCTCCCCTCGATCGCAACAACGTATACCGTGCCCGGTCCCATCGCTGATTGTACAGCTACGCACACGGTGGCGGGCAAAGATAGTATCCTACGACAAAAATCGCAGATTTTTGTGGAAATTGATGGCCATTTTTGAGCTACTCACAGCACTCTGCCCTTTTGTATCGCTGCAGGGGGTTCTATGGGCGCCTGTACAGAAACACCAATACGCAGCGACAAGCTTCCACAATCCAAACCAACACATCCTGTCCAATTCACTGTAATTCCTGGGCGTAACGCTGTGTGACGTGAGCATAACAAGAACTGGGAGTGCAGGGCTCAAAGCACGTCAATCACATGCTACAGATCACATTGCACAAGCAGCAATTGGGCACTGGTGCTTTCTTCGGCTTGCATGTTCCAACACTCCAGACGTTGGAACAGACACCAAAAACAGATCAGCTCTCGCGCCTGCATTAGATCTCCGCTTCGGATCCTCGTGTACCAATACTTTCTTCCACCTTGTACAGGATTCTCATTGTATCAAAGGTAAAAACATAGCTACGTCTCAGACGCGTATTGAGCCGTGCCAGGGCCCTGATGAGGCGATTGTCGCTGATCGAGACTGATCAACTCTATGACAAGAATTTCGCAAACATTAAAATGGACTCGTACATTTGCACATGAACCCAGACACAAGGTGCAACAGGCACTGGTCATCTCAATTTGAGTTTAGTTGTGCGCAGACCATCTCGATTTGAGCTACTTATTCCGTGTCGTATGCTTATTCTAGCAGTGGATCGTGAGGCCAGCTGATGGGCCCGCGTACACGGCA